CGTGTGCTCTTCCGATCTCCCCAAAACCCCAAAACCCCAAAACCCCAAAACCCCGTCTGTGAAATTTTCAAAAATTGTGAGCTAAAAGTAAGTTTAATTATTGATATATAATTTAAATTTATTATTGAGAATACTTGAATTATATCATCTTTGTCCATACCATCTATCTCGCACGTATTTTACCTGTCTTCAAAAGAAATTAAGACTTAATATTCAAATGAACGAATCTCTAGTTTAGCCAAGCATCAAAATCATATATAACTTCGTTAAAGCAGGTCTGCTTCATGCTAAAAGAGACTGCCCCGTTTGCAATACATGAATGATATTTACTAGATTCCCTTTTTAAGGCAATGAATATAAATGGGTCTGTTCTCTCTGCTTTTTTTAAATGGAAGTATGCAAGTCCACTCCACTCATAGGAAATTCATTAGTGGAATTTGATTTCTTCCTTCAACTATGGTCTTCAATAAAAGTTACCAAAATAACATAATTAACTGCAATCTGTAAAACAGTTTAACCTAGAGAATTTCAAAAGATGTTTAGGCATAGTTTAGCGCACTATTGGGTAAAGCACATCAAGGGAAAATTATAATTGCCAGGAGTTGTAGAGATAGATGAAACAATGGCATCAGCAAAGAAATATTCAGTAGGAATAAAATTTCCTACTCAGAGATGGGTATTTGGAATGTTTTGTAGAGATACTAAAATACCAATAATGTATTTTATTAAGAATAGAAATCATTGGAATATTTATCCTCTCCTTAAGAAGCATATATAGCCCGGAGGAGTCGTAGTAAGTGATGAGCATGCTACTTATGTTTGCTTATAAAGTGCAAAATCTAGATTAGCTTCATTTGGGTGGTATCATTTTTGGGTAGTCCATTCTAGTAGATATTCACATGAAAAATTTCCATTCCTCTATACTTCAAATGTTGAGTAAGTGTGGTCAAAATTGAAATTATAAAATGTTGGGTTAAAACAAATGAATACTCAAAGTAAAATTGAAAGATATGTAGATGCATTTTGCCTTCGCTATATTGTAAAGCATGAGAGTCTATATCCATTTGTTTTAAGATGTCTAAAAGAATATTACCAAGATTAAGTGTAAATTTTCAAAAACATTACATACCATGAAGAAGATTACTATCCGTATATTATAGATATTGAGCATTGCATCACTCATGTGCTTTAAAGAGAGGGTTCTGCTAAAGTAATTAAAGATTTTGAATTAAATAACTCGACAGAGCGTCGGAAGTATGCATTTTTTAAAAATATTGACTTTGAGGAATTACCATCCCATTTTGGTATAGAGGATTCAGAGATAGATCCATCAATGCTAAGGTTTCTAGATTTAGAAAAAAGGAATACTGATGTAGGAAAAGATTTGAAAAGCTACATAATACCAATTGGATATGATTTACTTTAGTAATATGAAAGAGATCCAGAAGAAGAAAGGAAAAAGGAAAAAAAGAGTAACTTTTTTAAAAAACATTTCATAGATATAAGTACAGCATAAACTATGGAGGATTTAGATTACTCTAGATAAGTGGAATAAAATGCATCGAAAAATGCTGTGTGTATAGATTATAATAAGATCAGAAGACCAGGATTTACAATTAAAAGATGGCTTTAGCAATGTTGATCATAAAATTGAAATATTTTGATTTGTAATAATTAATTTTAAACTCAATTTTTACTAAACATCTTACTTATGGGGTTTTGGGGTTTTGGGGTTTTGGGG